CCACGTGGCAGTTGTGGAAACAGCCACCGAGTGACCACTCCGGCCCTGCCTCGCTCCCCTGCAGCGACCTGCTCGACAAGACCAACCAACAAAGACAACTCGGCGAGCGCGGGGCGAGCGGTGACAGCAGCAGCATGCGGGACGGGGCGCGGCGGACGGGGGCCATGCAGGGACCCGGTGCCCAGATCTCCTCCCAACCAGGCACCAGGAAACAGCTGTGCTGGAGCAACCGGCCCCATAGCGCCGGCTCAACAACCCAACGTGGTGGAGAACCAAGAGGATGATTCAGCTGGTCAGCAAGCCCCCTGTGAGTAAAAAACTCACTCAAGCTGTAGGTCCAGGTGCTCATTCATTAGGGACAATCCAACACCCAGGAAAAAACCCAAAAGGGGCTGGCAGCTCTTTAGAGGCAGGCAAATCCTGAGCACAGCACACGAGCGGTGTGCCTGCTCTGTAAATGCTTCCCAGCCCTAATGCAATGCCTTTAGAAACACAAGCACCAAAAGGAGCATCCACAGAGGCTGGCCCTCGGCTGGAACTGTGGGCACTTGGGTCACAAAGGAAGCGGCGATAAAGACTTTACAAGCAAGGCAGAAAACCAGCAAAGGCTCGAGGGTGCAGTGGCTCTGCGGCGCTGCGGGAGGACATTTGCTCGCTGGCCCGGTGCAGCCACACCTGCCTCGTTCACCGACTACAGCAGCTACGGCGGGGAAAAAACAAGCCTGCAACACAGGCCAGAAAGCACGCTTGGACTCCTTCTCAGACAGGACAACAACCAGACGTCCACGACCAGAACTCACGTTACCTTCCCAAAGTTGTCAGTGTGCTTCCGATAGTCTAGGTCCTCATCCTGAAGGAAGATAAAGAGTCAACATGTTTAAGCACACGCAGAGCTCATCCAACCAAGAACAGCTTGTGTGTGGCACCAGTGCTGGAGCCCAAGCCCAGGCTGCGCACCATCGATCCCTGGCACTGGGCGCTGACGAACTAGTTAATATCTAAACCAGAGTCGTGTCCCGGCATGAGTCGGATGCAGCGTGCCCTTATCTGATCCCAGGTGGCGGTTCTCGTCCCAGCCGCAGACCTGGCGGCGGCGAACACCTACGTCCCCCAAGGCTGTGCGAGCCCCAGGCAGGACAGTGTCCCTCCTTCCACAGACACTCCACCCGGCATGGCTCGGCTCTCGGGCAGACGGCCAGCAGCACTGTGCCGGGTCCCGGTGCAAACGGACGGATTACAGCGAAGCCAATCTAGCAGCTCAGTGCTGAAAGAGCTCCCTCCGCCCCGAGCTCTCCTGGGGGACCCTCGTCTTGTCCCCGCTGTTACCAAGGTGGTGGATCGCTCGTTTACTGAGTCAATTCAACTCATTAACCAACAGAAAACGACTTCCTTTGTTTTCCTTTGTTTAGGTTAGCGATCTGCTGGGGGAGAGCTGAGGAGACCCAGGACAGCTCTGGTAAGCCTGCAGACAGCAGGAAGCAGAAGCACGGAGCTCGGTGGGAAGGAAAAGGACGCTCCAGTTCTGGCAGCACTGTGCTGACGGATCGATGCGGCTGCAACGCGCAGCTTCGCTCTCAGAGAAGCCATAGGCTGGCCTGGAGTTCCTGTGACGTTCCTGAAGCCCACACCCATCACGAGGGATCGAAGCCTTTATCCCCCCACACCCTTGCAGAGCAGCACGGGCCGAGATCACGCTGCAATCTCCGGCAGGCTTAAGCAAACATAAGCAGGTTGCTTTGCTGCCACTGCCCATAATCAGCTTGCCAGGTCTCCGTGTGCCCAGGAGCTGTACCGCCACTTGAGACAGCCACAGGAGAGAGCTGGCATGTGCCCTGGGCTCCAACCTCCCCCCAAAGCCCCCCGACTCACTATGGTGCTGTGGTGAGCCTTGGTCATAAGCAGCATGCGGCCAACGAGGTCGGTCGTGGACACGCCCTGGGTGCGTTTGCATTCCCTGCGGGAGACAAGCAGAGGGTAAAGCAGCAGCACAGGAGCACATGCCTCCTCCCCTTCCCACTGCCACCACATGAATGCCTGCGACCCCTCACGAACCCAGACCAGGGGCCGTCCTGAGGAAGGCTTCCTTCTGCCTGCTCTCAGTATGCAGCGTTCACTCGCTGAGCCTCTGCATCTTCTTCACATCTCAGCAACTGCTCGTATGAGGAGAGCCCACCTACCAGACCCCCCGACAGCGCTATCCAGCTACCCCCGTGCGGCTTCTAGACCACAATTATCGTCTGCCAGGAGCAGGAAGCCCCTGCGGTCAGCTGCTGGTCTGTGACATTCTTCAGCGACAACTCGTCCGGCTGCCCCTCACGGCACGAACTCCCAGAAACTGCCCAAACCGGGGTGAGAAGAGCGGCGGGTTACCTGTATCGCCCCGCTGTCTTCACCTCCTGGTAGGTGTCCTTGCCGTCTGCCGTCAAGGTGATGTCATCTGCAGAGAGAGACGCGCCTCAGAACCGTGCCCCGGCTCTCCGGCACAAACGTGGCTTCGGAACGATGGCAGCAGCTGAGCGGGTCCAGCACGAGCCAGCCCACAGCTCCTGCAATCCGCATCCCTGTGTGCACGTGGGACACATCCCACCTCCCAGGGAAACGCCAGGGGTTTACCAGAACACCCAGACTACGGCGACGAGCCCATTCCTGGGTGCTGAGCACCATTAACCGCCTGCCCCACCGCTTTCCAGATAGCCCAGAAGCTCTGAGCCATTGCCCTCGCAGTGAATCCAGCAGCGGGCACGACTGAGTTATTGTCTGAGCGACAATAAACTGCTACCACCAGTCTTGGTATCAAAAAGTACCTGAACTCCCTGGGGCTGGCGTAGCTGTTGGTTAATGTTACAGCTTTGTCAATCAGACATTCCTCCAGCAGCTCTGCCCCTCAGCGATGGCACTTCTGCACCGACACCAAGCCACCAGGTTAATCTCTGGCACGGTTCCTAACTCCCTCTACGAAAACTCCTCTCACCTGCTTTCAGGGAGAGTTTAAAACCTGCACGAGGGAACACCCAAGCTGGCTTTCAGTGGCAAACCAGCTGGTCTGCAGTGCAGGCGGGGGGCACGCGCGGGGAAGCCGAGCTGTTCCCAGACCTCACCCCAGCGCGGGGACGGGAGGGGAGCAGGCTGCGAGCACGGCGCCGCGTGCCAGGACAGGGGCTGGGGCGGCGTTTGCTGCCCGTCACCCTCCCAGAAAAGCTCAGCTAGTTCAAAACTCTCGTGTGAACGCAGCCCAGCAAAACCGTTAAGGTAGGAGCACTGAACGATGGGCAGAGGGGACGGACGCCGGGACACTGGAGCAGAGGCCACAAGCGCTCCTCTGCTGCCGTAACCCCTCACCGAGTCCAGCAAGGGGTGACGCACCCCAAACACGGCCGAGAGGCAATTAAGTGAACAAGGAACTTGATAATCACCCTGCCCACGTGAAAAAGCATCACCTACCTACCTCACAGAAGACTAATGATTTATTTCCGTTTAGTGAAACACTTGTCTGAGCGAGAGCAGGTGGCTGGGATGAAGAAGGACATGAAACGAGTGCAGAGACTGCTCCCGATGAAACCAACAAAACCCCTTCCGAGGGGCAGGGAGGAGGGGCTGAAGCCGTCCCAGGAAGGGACAGAGTACAAAAGCAAGAATGTTTCCCCAGCACACTGGTTCTCTTCAGTGGCCGTAAACTGAAAAGTGTTCGGAATAAGAACTGGGTCTCTGAGCACACGGTCAGCTAAGCCGCTGAGCAGCTTATCAGCTGGATGGAGAGAAAGGCTTTTCTGATCTGATCTCTTCCCAGGATAAGGGGATACAAACACGATGATATTTCTGCACACTTACCTTTTTAACAGCATTTTTCAAGTTTAAGTTTTGTAAATGACTTTCCCCCACACTAAATTTTCTGCTTGTGCTAAGGGCAACCTGAGGATAATTGCCAGTAACGCGTTCCATCTCTGTGGGTGATGCTTACAGCCACCGGGTCTGGCCACGCTCGCGGTGCCCAGCACACAGACGCGCGTCTCCACGCTGCCAGAGCAGGAGCGGCTGGACGGCCCAGCGCAGGCGCCGGTCG